TATGTTGCTGTTACTATTTTAGCCAGAGCATCTGTTGTTTGAAGTCCCATTTACTGCATTCCAGCTGGCGCTCAGGGGTTCATTTAGGCATGTGTAGTCTTCTCACTAGATTTCAACTGCTGTTTTTCTTTATTAACCCAGTGCATGATACCAAGCTTTTCCAGGATGATTGACATCAGTCAGGAAGAGTGTTGGTTATTGGAACTCCATTTGCTAATGAAGTCATCTTTGTAAGTAAGGAAGTGGAAAGACTTTGGCTTTGATGTATTTGCTGAGAACAGTTTCTTGCAGGCTGTTACTAGGGTAGGGATATGGGTCCTTTGCAAGCGTGTGAAGTTTCTGCTTTTGGAGCTTGTTTGATTCCCATCAAAAGCTTGGGCTTTCTTCTCTTCTTCCAGCCCTCAGACTAGCAAAAACAAACAAACAACCACCTCCCTACCCCAACCAAAAAAAATTCTTTGTGCTTACCAACTTGTAGAAATCTTGGCAAGTTTCCTTATCTGTAGAACTTGATCCTTGTTGTGAAGGGCTGTGCCAAAACTAATACACTCATTCTTTCGTCCTTCAGGTAATAGCATCCGTTTCAACACTTTGTTGCAATGTATTGTTCTTGCCTCCTCCTCCTCAAGGCTCTATATAAGAATTTATTTTATGATCTGTTTAACAAATCTAGGACAAGAAAGTTAAAGAACAATTCTAGTAATACAAAGGGACTGCATCATAGTTTTTATCATCCTATATCTAGCATGTAAGGCCCTATCTAAAGCCTAAAATAAGTTAATATATTACAGTTCAAATTAAGTCCTCCCTTTTGGCAATTTGAAACAAAGTGAATCTTAAATAAACCTGACTTCTAGGATAATGCAATTTTTTTCTGCATTTTTATTGGGTAAATATGTGTTAAGCAGATTAATCAAAAATGTAAAACTTCAGGAAGAAGTACAATAGAGTAACGCGTTTCCTGATTCCTCTGTGACTTTCCTGAATGAATGATGACTTCTATTATTCTTCCATTAGTATTATGATACTGATGGCTGGTATTGTATGTATCCATATTTAATACTGGTGTTACATTACTTTCTTGTGGTTAAGCTGCAATTATCCTTTTATAGTTTCCGGTCACATTGTAGTATGCTTCTTTTAGTACTTCCTCTGTCAGAGTTCCACAAAAAAAAAAAATCTTGCTGCCAGTTGACTTGCTTCAACCCTTACTAAAACAGGCAACTGTCTCAGTTATCTCCTTCCACTGACTGTCAGTAGCGTTTAGGTGGCTACTCTTGACTATATGCCTCACTGCAAAACTGAACTGAATCCTCCTTTGGAATTGGGGAAAACAGGGAACAAAAGGTGCAGGTCAGTACTGTCAGAAAATAAATGTTAACAGAATTGCTGGTTAGAAATTTACCCCTCTGGCAACTGAGGGATAACAGAGTGCGTTTTCACTCTTTTGCTGGCACCCAGAGAGATTACTCTATTTGAGTGCCTGCAGAAAAGCACGGGCAACAACATTTATGGTGGTATTGTGACTTTTGAGCAGCCGTCCTTCCCTGGATGGTAGACTTGTACTGTCAGTCAATAAAGCTGATAAGGCTTTTATAAAACTTAGAAGATCAGTTGACTCTGCTCGAAAGAGAATTTCTGTCCTGGGCTAAGTGAAATATCCTAGTTTATGTGGACTCCATGAAAAGAGGGACATGACTATCAAGATGTAAATGTTAGAAGATGAGTAAGAATGACTCTTGTAATGCCACATAGCTTGCAGATGATAAAAAGGTGATTTGTTTGGTGTGGTGATTTAAGGAGCAGGATGTATTGAGGGCTCTCTGTGACGTTAAGACTCTGGGATATACAGTGATAAGTGACATCTTGTAAAGCTAGACCATCTCTGCTCCATCTCTCTGCTCTTTTCATTTTTTGTTCAGACAAGATAAGATGGTAGTGATATCATTTGCCTCTTCTTGACTGAAGAGGCAGTTGCTCTTAAATCTGATTTAATTCCATTTTGAATCTTCATATCTCTTACAGGAGGCCTGCTTATTGCACAACTGGTCCTTTCTGTGACTAGGTGAATTTTGTAATCAAGTAAAGTGATGATGCTCCTAAGAAAGAAATTGATCAATATAACTAATTACACCATTTGGTCCAATGTTGGTGGTTCAACTGTGATGTTGAGCTTTGAGTTCTTACAGAGTAACTCCTATTACAGCCTTTAGGAGGCTGTCGAAGTAAGCTGGAATTTTCTGTAGAATAATATTTTTTATATTTTCAGGTAAAATTAACTTTGTACAGAACCTGTAAATTAGTGTCACAGGAAACATCTGACCTTGGAACTTCATTTTATTCCTTGCTACACTGAACAGCTTTAACCTTAATATGGTATCTTCTAATACTTTCAAGCTATTAGGATAGGTCTCATATAGAGGCAGAAATCTCCAAATGGTATCATTCTGGATGATTTTATCAAGTTATCTAATGTGCTCTGTAATTCTTACTACATTCTTCATATCCACTGTTTCTGAGTCTGGTTAAACATGCCTCCTTCAGGTTCAAAACGTATAAGCATTGACACTGTCTGATTTGCTGACACAGTGAAAGAGAGATCGGCATCTGTGTATGACTAATCCAGGATATAAAATGGAGACTCCACCTTGGATATTTTTATCATTTGTTTTCCTTTCCCTTGACATTTGTTCTACTGAGCCCTGCACGTGTGAAAGAGTGATGAGGAGAGTCCATGCTCCCTCATTTCCTTTCACATTCACAGAGACGCTGGTCATTGTGGGCAGCTATTAGATTGTCCAGAGGAAATAAATCTGCATTCCTATTAGTGATAGTTAATTTTTACATTTCAGTGTACTTGCAGTATAGAATCTGTTTCATTCAATCACCTTAAGGCCATATCATTCCTTCTGGCATCAGTTGGTATGCAGCAATTTTATAGAAGGGTTTAGGACTCAGTGTAGTAACTTGGTGGAAGAGCCAACAATAAAACTCTGTTTCTTCCCTTTAAACTCAAAGCATCCTGTTGCGAACAAATTCAAGTTTAGGTCTTTCTAACAGCTGTAGAACAATCAGTTACTTAGATATCAAAGATGCTGTATTTGCATAAAACGGAGTGCTTCAGCTTATGAAGATCTATTTTGTTTTCATCTATACAAACAGTAGGAAACACTTTGTGTTTAGCATCTAATTTGTTAATACATTTAATAATATAATCTTCATGTACAGCACGATAGGAAGTGTTCAGTAAGGATGCAGTAATTCTGGGGAGCATTCTTTCCTGTTTTCCATGCTTTCTATCAAAAAGATACAGAATTTGTTTACCCAATTCTTTACACCCTAGTTATTTATCAGATAAACATATGGAATTCCTTACTAATACAAGAAAAAATCTGTTTGTGTCTGTATTGTCTAAAGACTGCTGGTCCTGTTGTTGGACTGATGTATTCTATATCTGCATGTAAAAATATGAAAGCAGCAGGCACTGAGTAAATACAGGGGTAGGGCAAAATCGTGGTTGGGATTCTGTTGCTTGATAGTGGTTTTTTTTTACTAAAAAAAAAAAAAAAAATTCAGTTGTCTTACCGTGTGGATTTTTATTTGGAGGTGTTTGAAAGATTTTCAACCCTTACTTCATTTAGGATAGTGGAATGGTTCTTACTGTTGGAGATTGTTCAAATTTAAATGACACTTTTTTCTTTTTTGGTGTGTGTCTTGATTTAGGACATTAGGCCAATTTGTGTGTTTATATGCTAGGTTTTATTCCTGCCAGGAAAAAGGTTAGCCTTCTAATTTTGTGTCCAGCATTGAGTAAATGAGTATTTATGGCTTTACAATGACAGAGGGTTAAGGAAATCACAGAATCACAAAATGGCTGAGGTTGGAAGGGACCTCTGGAGGTCATCTGGTTCAGCCCCCCTGCACCTAGAGCCAGTTGCCCAAGACCATGTCCAGAAGGCTTTTGAACATCCCCAGGGATGGAGACAGATACATGATACTTTTGAAGCAGAATTTATGACTTGGCTTTTGTTCATAACTTATTCTTACCATGACTTTTGATGAGATTTAGCAGATATTAGAATCTTAATTGCCAATTTTCCTAGCTTCAGAATAGATACCACAGATATGTCCTCTAGGACATAGAGAATTGTTGCTGGTTCTCTGGGCTCATCGGGACTGGTAGCATTTTTAAGTCTTGACCGAGTTCATTCATTATCACATTCATCTCTGCATTTGCCATTAGTATACCTAAAAAAGAAAAGAACAGATTTATGTGGTTACATTGATATTCTGTATTTACGATTTTTTTGTTGTTGTTGCTGTTGAAGTGTGTACAATTCTAATGAAATTTTATGCTATGAAGTTTGGATTGCTTTGACATTTCTTTGGTCCGAAGGTCCACTCTGTGTAGTTCAGTGAGAACAGTGCTCATAATCAATGGACAACTTAGTTGATTGGCAAGTACTTGGGGTTTTGTGGGGGTTTTTTCCCTTCAATTTCTTTTTACAGAGATTTTACATAACACTGTATAATGTGTTAGTGTATTAGAACAGTTAGAATGTAATTCTTTTGATAATGTTTATGAAAGAAACTGTCATGAGCTTTATTTTAATCTGCAAACTAATCTTGTGGTATGTTAAACAACAGTGGTCTACTTACATATGCAATTTACCACTAGACATTAATTTCTTATAATAATGTCTTTTTCTTTTTTCAAGAAGTATAACAGTTCTTCAGTTGTCAACATAATACCTGTATTAATGTTTGAAATCTGGCATCAGCGTGTTTCGTAGGTTTCTGGGATATCTCAGGTACTTTGATTTTGAAATGGTGATGGGGATTTTGAATGAAGTTACTGTCCAAAAAAGATACTAGAAAGGAAACTTTGTAAACAGAAAAAATGTTTCATACAGAAGTGCATGAAACCTTGCTCCAGTGAAGTTGTAGTGGAGTAATTCTGATTTTCTTTTTTTTCCGTTTTTCTTGAATTTTAGATTTATCCATGGCAGTGCAAAAATTTTCACAGTCTTTACAAGATTTCCAGTTTGAGTGTATTGGAGATGCTGAAACTGATGATGAGATTAATATTGGTAAGTACGTTCTGTGCTCTGGTTGGAGTAACATTTTATATTGTTTCTTACATAATTAATATGATATCACAAATATAGTGGGGCAGTTCACAGTTTTTGTTAGGGTTTTTTTTTTTAATGGAGCATGCAACAAAAAGAGAAAAAAGTAAGTAGAAATCATGCAAGAGTTTAAAAATACATGTCAAAAGACTATGTCTTCATGACATAGCTTGGTTCATTGTAGAGGAAAGTATTCAGCAGTACTTTGTCAACTGAGTCAACTGTAAATCTTCTCAATTCTGCTGCTATTTTTAATTTGCAGCCAGTTTTCTTTGGGATACTAAAAGGTACACAAGTTTCCTATGAAATAACATAAGTCTGCAGAAAACACTTAAGTGCCTAGTAAGACACAGGAAGTATTTAAGGGTCTAAAAACAGGAATATGTTCTTTACAACTTGTGCATTCCTAAGTATATAGTTGTCTGAACTTTTGCCAGTAAAATTTACTAGCTGCTTAATGTTCTGCCTCTGTGCACACCCAGAACTTCTGCATTAGCAGAACTGAACAGCTCAGCTTGTCTTGAACATAAGACTCTTTAATATCATCAAAATATTCTTCCCTCAGCAGACTAATCCTGGAAACATTTCCAGGATTCAGAAGTTCAGCCATTCTTTACTGCAAGGCATTGCTGTGGTTGCAGTGATGATTTTGGGCAGTAGCGCAGCAGCTGGAGTGCTCTAGCTCCTGTTGGTGAGAAACTTGGACTATAATCCATCTTCGGAATGGCTAAGTTCATTGTCATGAGTCTTACATACCACATGGCCCCCGTGTCCTTCCCAAAACATCTGAGAGGAAGGAAGATGGTTGTTAAAGAGTAGTTGCTTCTAAAAATAAATAATTTGGCAGTACAAGAGGGAATGTAGGACTTTTTAGTATTTTTTAAAAAAGATCTATGTAATGTAGAGAGGAAACTCAGATTTAGGCTTTTCCAAGTGTATCTCTTACCATAACCTCTTTTCAAGTCTTCTCTCGCCTCAATATTTCCCTTTTCCTGACTGAGGAAATTGTCATTGGACAAAAGGTCTGAGCTGCTTGCTTTCACTGGCAGGGTTTGCCTCACCCTCACCCTACAACATTGTGATAGTTAGGAGACTGTCATCAAAGATGGCTGGTATTTGGTCACTGTCTTCCACTAACCTTTGGCAGGGAGGTGGGAGGGGAGGGTTGATTTTACTGACATGTAAAAGTAGGGGAGTGAAACCACTGAAGGGCTTCTACTCAGATATAAAACTGCATACATTGTTAAGGTGTATCAAGCTTGGAAAGAGACAAAAAATGAATGGTGTGTATGTACTTTTTGGCATTCTACATATTACTTCTTGGCTGTTAAAGTCACCTTGTATGTATTTTATGCTTTTAAATCTACAGTATCTCAGTTATATGTCTTAGATTTGGTCAATAACTATTTTAGAGACATAAGGTCCTCAGTCACCTCACTTTAAATACAAAACAAAGACAACTTTTGTTTTACTTGTAACCTAAATGTAGCAAAGAAAAGATATTTTATTGTTTGGACATTAAACAGGCATTTAAAACTATTTAGGAAAAAAACAGAGTTTATGAAGCTTGACAGGTGATTTATTTCACTTGGAGCTTCAAAGAAGGGATTTCTAGCTTCTAAAGCAGCCATTGCCTAATGGATTGTCATGTACATCAAAGAAGCTTATAAGAGTAAAAGGTAAACTGACAGGAATCAAATTCAAGTCTAACAGAGCTTGAATGATACTGTGTGCTTTTATAGGGTAAGGCTCAATTTTTGATCTCCCTAGAGCAGTGGCCTAGAATTTATCCGTATCTTGAACATGCCCCAACAAGCTAGATGTTTGCTTATCATCAAAGACAGCTTTGTATGGATGAATCCCACTCTCTGTGCCTCCTTCTGCCTTCACCTTCTTTTTTTAAGAATATCTATGACTGTGCAGGCCACGGGAAGTTTTACTTCAGTCTGCAGTGGTACTCTGACTTGATAAGTTTTGTAAAAAACTACCGTATACATAGGGGCTTAATACAGGAATTACATTCTGAAGATTTTAAAATACATTTCTATTTCAAGCTTAGCATTGGAAATCCACCCTAACCCACCTTAGTGTTGGAAATTCAACCTCTGAATAAGGCTTCTTCTGTCAGGATGTTATTATTTCTGTTAAAAAAAAAAAAAAATTTCAACTTTTTTCAAAATTGAAGTATAAGTGATTTTTTTCTATTTTTTTTCTTGTCAGTAATAATTATTTGGAACTGAGTTGATAGCTCCATGAACTTTTTTTTTGAGGCAATACTAGAGTTGAAGGTCTCTGTTCAGTAACTAAGCACAACATAATTTTTTTTGCTTTTTTTGCCAACCTGAGCTCTAATTACAGTATTTAGTTTTATTTGCGTTTCCTGTAACCTGTGCCTTTTTAGATGCTCTCTTTATACAACTCATTTATGCCAGTAAGCCCATTACACAAAATACATGAGAAGTAGTTTTAGTTAAGCTCCATGACACACTCAATATAAACAGAATTATGATGGTGTTCTTCATATTTATTTTAATCCATCTGTTATTTAATCCAGTAATTTATTTGTGTTTTTGTTTTCTTTTAATTCCTATCTTTGTTTCCTAATTTTTATGATTTCTTACTTTTTATTTACAAATGTTTAATTCTTCCGTAGAAGTGGTGGTGTTCTTTGACAAAAAAATCTACGTGTCTCTTTGTGGCTGTATAATGCATTTTAGGTAATCTTTCCAGGTTGTTGCAAGTTACCCAGATTTATCTACATAGCCACTTTCAGATACAACGTACCCAGTTTAGAGTCAGACATTTTGTGCATGGGTTGTAAGCTATTCCCCTGACTTTCTTGAATAAGCAGACTGGCTTGTTCCTCAAATCATCTACAACTTCATTTTTTTAAAACAGTGAACATCAAAGGATTCGTGCTCTAAAAAGCTTTTTCAGATTATCAGATATTTGCCAGCAAATTAGGTTGGGAAACAGTGCTCCACAGCTTTACTAGCTTTTCTCATTAAAAAATAAACAGCAACAATTGTCAGTGTTGTCTCTTCCTCTGTTTTGAAATGCACGTGGCAGCATGTGATCTGCAGCAATGCAAGGGCCATAATACTTGATAGGGCCATACTAATTGATAGTAGAACATGGATATTAGCTCCAGTTGCATGTGATTCAGCCAAGCTGTAATTTTTTTGTGCCATTGAAAAGTTATGCAGAAAGGGGCATCTTTAAAGCAAAAATAACATGATGAATGACAGTGAATCATTAATACTAAAAAGGCATAGTAATGAATGTTTGATGTAACTTACCCTTACGCTGAGAAGGGTGTTGCTTCCCCCATTTTACCAACAACTGTGCTTTCCTCAGTCTGAAATAGCCAAGAGTTGACAACACTTTGCTATTCAGTCTTTTAGACGTACCACCCTGTGCACAGTTACTCTCAGCCCCCTTTGCAATTAATATTTTGCACAAAGATTAAATACTTTAAATTGACAATAAATGAATGTAAAGGAGGTCAGTCATTTGTCATGCCCAGTGAGAGTTTTGTGCAAAACAGATGCATGATTTTTACATGTTTCAAACCTTATAGGTAACATAGAATGTTACACAGATGGGATAGGTGCAAAAACTATGTTTTTAACGAACAAGTGTCTTTTTCCTCAGTACACACTGTGCAGGCATAAATTTTGCAAGGAGAAGGTTTGCCCAGCTCCTCCTTTCCTAGTATTACCCAGCTTGTGTCACCTGATTCCTTCCCCAGGAATCTCCCTGTTTTTATCCTCTTTTCTTTGTTTGTGTTATCTGGATTGTGGCTGATACAGATGAAAATAATGAACATTATTATTTAACTCAATGGAATTCTGTCTTGTTTCTTTAACAAGTTCGTGTCTATTTTGTATTATGGCTAATTATAGATCAGTGAGATTTAATATCATCAGTGTAAGACCATGCTCTTCATAATTAAAAGAAACCAAGACAAATAAATACATTCTGATATTCTGGCATTTTACTTTAGTATCTTTTTTATTAGTGTGTGCTATTTAGGAAAAAGCACTGAAAGGCATGTGTATTTCACTCTGTCACTGCTGGTTTTGAATTTTTTTTTCCCCTGAAGAGAATTATGTTATGACAGGTATTTCAGGTAGCATCAGATGCTTGATTTAGTAATGTAATAGAATTATGATGATCTATGAAATCATTATTAATTGAGCCATAAGGAATAGGTCAGAAGTTCTAAAATGTGGTATCTTTCCTTGTGGGAACTGAATTCTCCTCTTGCTGCTAGCAGTTGTGGCTCATGGGATTTTTGCTGACTCACACCTCAAGTCGTTCATGGGTTGATTAAAATTGCTAGCAACTAACCATCTACAGAACTGCTAACTCATACCAGCCAATTATGTTGTATACAGCAGTTAGTTTCAAGTTGAACTTTGAAAAATCAGCTAAAATGTACTGGGGAGAAAGAACTTTAAGGAAAAAAAAAAAGGGGGGAAAAAAAAAAAGAAAAAAAACTTTAACAGTAGTTGTTTGTTACAGTCCACTACTGTGTTCTTAAGGCTCTCTTGTTTGAGTTGAGCAATGATGCCAGAAGCTCAGTCTTCTTTTTTGCTTGTACTGGGCATCCACATGCACAATGCTTTTGAGTTAGCAGCTGCTCTGCCCTCTTGGAGAGCCTGTCAGAGGACAAGCATCCTGTCTTTCAAAGCAGCAAATAGATCTGTCTTGGGAAATTTGTGTATAAAACTACACAAATAAGAGAAAAAAAATCAGAGTTTCCCTCCCCCCATCTCTCCTAACAATGTAAAAGATTAATTAAGAGCTGCCAAATTCCATTTTTTTTTTAATGGTACAAACTGCGCATGCAATGTTCTATGAAAAGGAAAAAAAAAAAAGATTTATAGGAGCTTTATGCCTGCCTAAAGTGTGTGGAGGCAAATCTTGACAAATCAATCTGTGGACACAGTAGTCTC